CACTTACAGCTTAGAAAACAATTCGCAAGATGGACCGTCGAGCACTCACGGGTTAAATGGGTACTTTTACCTCGAACAATAATAATTTTAGTTGGAGCGAGTGCACCAATAATGGCGACAATTTCCGACGATTAGCCGATGGACGACGGTTTTTACTGGACACGGCAAAAATGGACCTAATGACGAGCCACTTGTCGTAATGGCGCAGATTACGCCGTGCTAGCGACTGAAGCGACTTTAGATAAATAAACCTAAGGCAGCGGCCATTTTTGTTTATTATTTCCTATCATTTTAACGTCGAGATGATTTTCTTAGTAAATGTTGAGTTCAGATAAAGATTCAGAGATATTAATGAAATTTTAAAACAAAAATATTTTTTACATTCGGGCCATGAAAGATCCATAATATCATATTATTATTTACAAGCTCGCAAATACAGTGTGAGTCACGTTAAAGTGTACATATGAAAATAGATGAAACTAGACCTATTTTTATCGACAAAAAAGAGGTCAAAAATTTTTTGAGATTTTTTTTTAATTTTTTATAGAATTTTTTATCTTCCAATTACTTATTGTAAAGAAAACGTAATAACTTTTAAACTAAGCGGTATATCCTAATAAAATAAAAACAGAAATAATGCTCAATAACAGGCGATACTAAAAAAATACATAAAATACACAAAAAAGGCCAACAAATAATAAAAAATGACACTTTTTGAAAAAAATCTGCTTTTAAATTCGTGTTTTTTTGGTTATTTGATAAATTTCTCCAAAAAATGCCCCTATAACCAGTGGTTTTTATTACTTTGTATTATTCTCTATCGTATTACCTTCGTATAACAAAAAATCGCATGTCTCTATCCCTATCACAACGTTTGCAATGATCGTTTGAACTAAGCCTCTCCGGGCGCNTATTTTAAAAATTCAGCAATCGAGTAAAAGCTTCTTTCCAAAAGCCATGTGCGCAAAGCTGACTTGAATCGATTTATATGCAGTTCTTTAAAGCGATTTGGTATCTTGTTATAAATTGTTTTACACATAGAATAACAGTTTTTTTGAAATCGTCGAGTTTTTGGTACCATTTCCAGAACTAGCCTGTGTGGATTTCGAACCGACCTTTGATTGACATCCCTCGCTTGCGTGAATTTCCAATTGTTATTTCTTACAAATAAACTAACCTGAAGAATATACAGGCACGGAAGAGGCAAAATTTTTAACAATTGAAAATAAGGCTTACATGAGACATCAGGGGCTATGTTACACATGGCTCTGATGCAACGTTTCTGTGCAATGAACAGTTTATTGATGTCTGTTCCATTTCCCCAGATTATGAGGCCATATCTTAAAATGGATTCAACATAAGCGTAGTAGGATGTAATTGCTGTATTAACATTTGAGATCCTGGTCAGTTTATACAGAGCGAAGACAAATCCATTAACTCTGTTACTAACCCGGTCTATTTGATCTGCCCAAGTGAGCTTTGTATCTATTCTTATACCTAAAAACTCAGCATTTGTAGTGGTTTGCAAAACTTTGCCATTAATATTGATGTCAACTGATTGATTTTTAAAATTATTAAAATTTACAATATTAGTTTTCGTTAAATTAATTTGAAGATTATTACTATTAAGCCATTGTATTATCGATGTCAGTGTATTTACAATGTCAACTTTGTGTTGTTCCAGTGAAGAATCATTATTAGTTGATATTATAACAGATATGTCGTCCGCAAATAAAATGGTTTTTTGTTTCGTTATTTCTGGTAGGTCATTTATATATAAAACGAATAGCAAAGGACCCAGCACACTTCCTTGTGGGACGCCGCATTTATTTTCTCGAAAATCGGATCTATATGTCTGAGCTGTATGGTTAGAATCAAGTTGAGTTACTTCAACATATTGACTTCTACCTGTAACATAGGACTCTAACCAACCCAACGCCGGTCCTCTGATTCCACTACGTTCTAGCTTTCTTATAAGTTGATCATGAGATACACAGTCAAAAGCTTTCGTCATGTCAAGAAACATCACTGTTGTGTATTTCTTGTCGTTGACGCTTTGCATCACCTCGTTTACAAGGTCAAATGCTGCATGTATAGTAGATTTCTTTTTTTGGAATCCATATTGATTTTGTGCTATTATTCCATATTTATTTAAAAATTCAGTGAGCTGTGAATGCATAACCCTTTCAAAAATTTTCGAGAAAACCGGTAGTAGTGCTATTGGTCGGTAATTTCCTAGGTTGGCTTTTTCTCCCTTTTTGTATAACGGCTTGATAACAGAAATCTTTAATTTTTCTGGAAATTGCCCATTTTGTAGTGAAAGATTGACTAAGAAAGCCAGAATTGGAGATAGTTCTTCTTTGCATATTTTAACAACTTTTGTACTTACGGAGTCATAACCCTCGGACTTGGTATTCTTTAGTGACATTATAATTCTATTGATGGTGTGTGCAGTAACTGGTGTTAAAAAGATACTGTTTTGTACATATCCTGCATTTGCAATTTTTTGTGTGTTAATTGGTGTATTTAATGATATATTACTACTATTGTCAATAAAATGATTGTTAAATGCCGAGGCAATTTTTTCAGGGTCTGTATATTCCTGGCCATTGTCTATTATTTTGTTAATATAGTTCCTAACTTTTGAACTGGTCATTTCACCTTTAATGACTGCCCAGGTTGCTTTGCATGCATTTTTGCTGCGTGATACATATTTTTGATTGGTAATTTTTTTAGAGTGGTAGATACATTTTTGATAGAGTTTATTATATTTAATGTAATTTATTCGATTAGTGTAATTCTTTTCATAATAATATTTAAATCTAAGTTTTCTTTTCACAATGCTACTTCTTTTAAGACCTTTTGTCATCCATTTTATCTTAGATGGTGTGAAGTTTTTGACTCTTGTTTCAGGAAAGCATAATTTATAAATTAGTTGGAGCATTTCATGAAATTCATTATAAGCCATATTCAAATCTTTTTGCAAATAAATATTATGAAACGTTAGACATCTCAAATACTCCNATTTGCAATTTTGTGTGTGTTAATTGGTGTATTTAATGATATATTACTACTATTGTATACTAAGATTCTATTTATAAAATACATTTTTTGCGCTTAGAAAATTAACTGGCACGGACTATAATTTAAACTAAAAAATCGAAGGCACTACGAAAAACAAGATTTAAGAAACACAAAACAAAAAACATAGGCAGTGTGGGCAGTTATAAAAAAAGGGTCGTCCATCTCGGTGCCCGGCACATAATATATGTATTTACAAACAAAAACAATGTTTTATCTCTTAACCATAATGGTATGACTCAAGGTCTTGCCTTGAACTATTTTTTTTACTTTATGTGCCTAGTATTTTTAAGCTGAGAACACATGAATACGAAACATATCCGTGACCATCAGAGTGACTTGTCAAACGAGATATTTTCTAAAAACAAAAATAAATAAAAAGTCTGGGATAATTCACGTACATTTTCTAATGGTTGTATAGTACCTATTGCGTAGTATAATTTGTCTTTTTTATATAACGATGAATTATAATTATGTTTTAAAATAACGTAAAAGCATAAGCGATTGAGATATGCCTAACGCTTTTGGGGGCTTTATAGTCTAACACAGAGTTAGTTATATACTTTGGTTTTCAGAACCCACGCGACAAAAGAGTATTCAATCAGAAAACAATGAAAGCCACGTCGAAATCTGTACTAATATTATAAATGCGAAAGTAACTCTGTCTGTCTGTGTCGTTTTCACGTCTAAACCACTGATCCGATTTTAATGAAATTTTGTATAGAGTCCCGGTTTTTAAAACAGGGCCGTGCGCGATACCGTTTTTTGTCAAAGACAAATTTCCACGCGACTGAAGTCGCGGGCAGAAAGCTAGTCATACATAATGTATAATAAATAATAGGTATAGTATGGAAACGTGTAAGTGCTGCTGTCGAGATTTATGACCGTCGCTTGCGGTTACGACCCACAAATAAAAAGGCACAACGAGCGCAACTTATGGCAGTTCACAGTCCATGCCGTTGTAAATACTGTGTTTTCAGCGCTTAGTATGTAATGTATAATCATGCATAGGAAGATAGTGAATTATACCAATCCATATTACATAACCCATACAACAAAAGTCTATTAATCTGGGGTGGAAACAATAATATCAATCAAAGTTTTGTAATAGTGGGAACCTACTATGAGTAGCCTTACTGGACAAGAGGAACTACAAGACAATGTCTTAAGTGCCTTTTTCCTGTCATGCGGATTTCGATGCGGATCTGATTCGCATGCGGGCTACCCGCATTTTATTCTTTCATACATGTTTTTCTAATGTCCGAGTGTTTACAACAAAATCTAAATGTAGTCGCACACATAAATTATTGTATTCTGTATACAGTAACAGTGGACAGCACATCAGAGTGAACTTTGTTATAAAACAGCATCTAAAGCCCCTTGCCCATGCAGGGCAACTTTTTGTAGTGATGCAGTAGCGATTCTGTCGCACGTTCTTATCGATACAGTCGCAATGCGGTTCGCTAGCTGTGTGCCCTCGCCCACATAAATGCGATTCAGTCGTGATGCAAAAGCGATACTGTCGCGCTTCTGTCACGATGCAAACGCAATTCAGTAAAGGTTCGGCCAAACCAACGCGTACAACCTGCGTGCGCGATCACGATCAGTAGAAATCAGTAGGGTCGCCATCGTCATCGCCATCGCGCACGCAGGTTGCACTCGTTGGTATGGCCGAACCTTACCGGCACAAATTACCTGCAATCGCTACAGTTCCGCGCCACTCTTCCCTCCGTTCTCTCCCCGATGTCGTCCGACGTGGTCGCGCGATTACATCGATACAGTCGCGATTCTGTAGCGCATTAGTAGCGCCTTGGCATCACTTCTGTAGCGCGTTGCAAATGCGACCAACGTGCTGTCGCTCGTTTACAAAAAGTCGCCGTGGGCGAGGGGCCTAAGCACCATACCCAATGAACACTACGCTAAGTTGTAAGTTCATTGGAGGTATCGTTATAATTTAGGGATGACTTACACGCAGACTTCAAGCAGCCTTCGTCTTTCGTCAGACCAGTCATCCACGGCACCGCAGGCACGTCGTTTATTTTGCGAACACTTTTAGTCAGGAAAGCACCGGGGAGATCTGGCTCAACTACGGCCTTGAATGGAGTCATCGGCTCATAATCCCATACCTGAAAACGATAATTTCACAAAACGATTAACGATAAAGATAATAACTATCTAGGTAAGTTGTTCAAGACATTTTAAATGAATCACGCACGCGCTGTAATTCTGCATATAAAAGGAACGAACACATTACAAATAGGACACTCGAAATTTTGCTATTAGGAATAAAGTATAATAAATTCGCCGAGGCAACCCAACTTTGAGCGTTAAGGATAGTAAAGTAGAGCATTTTATGTTATTTATTCAATAAAATAAATATTTTGTATCGCTATGCGGCAAACAGACGAGAAGGTAACATACAAAGACGATATTATCACAATATCTCAGCGGACACTTAGGACTACTTTTGCCCACATAAATATTACCAGAACACACATGGCTTTAATCTGCCTAGTTACAAAAAAACTTTTAGATGCGTAAGTTATGTCAACTGATAGGGATATACTCATTCGATTTCGCAGCTCATTAGCAATTTAAATACAAAACTAGTTTTAAATGCGTAAAAAAAAGATTAATGTTGAATTTATCTTATTCAGGAAATGAAAAGATTAGCAAAAGAAAAACAATACCTCAGTATTGGCTTAATTGTGAGTTAACCGTATTACGGAAATTTTTGAATTAGGCACACTTACATAAAATTGAAATTCGGTGCCAATGATGTCATAGCTGTCTTTCGTGCGAAGACATTTGATCATGGCTTCTGATGGAGCCTGCGGACAATCCAGGAACTTGGCCAGCTGGAATGCGTTTCTTAGAGCTTCACCAGGTGGCGCTTCTGCCCACGGGACCAGCGCGGTTCCCGATTCCGAAATCGCTTTGTGGAACAGTCCTGTAACAACCAATATGGAATCGTAAGTAGGACTGTATGTCTCATATGTTAGTGACAGGTTACTTAGGTACACTCTTCGAGTAGAATCGGACCATCCCTACTCTTCCCGTGGATATCATAAGATGCGACTAAGGGAGAGAGGGGAGATAAGGCAACACACTCTGTGCATATAAGGAGTGTAGTTCTACATAAACATAATTATAAACCTTTGTTGTTTCAAAATGATTTACATAGGAGGTAAATATGTAAATCATTTTGAAACAACAAAGGTTTATTTAGCGGAAAAGTTTTCATCTAGATTCAAGTGCCGTAATTCCCCGTTCCCCACACGGTTGAATGCGGTTCTATTTCTTTGAAAAAATAAAGGAATGTTTTATTTGACTAAAATGTTCTATCTGCAGTATTAGAGAACTTTTCCTCCAAATTAAATTCCACCCTGTGTAGTATGCCACGAATCCACACAAAATAGCGGGTTGAGTAAAATGTTGTATAGCATTATTTATTTGAAGTGAAAAAAAATCGGAAAATGGGCAAGTGAGGAATACAGCGGTAGGCACTGGTGGTAGTTTGATGCAGTGCAGACTGGTGAGGCAGCCTAACCTATATTAAGGTACCTATTCATAAAAGAGTGTAATTGTATGATTGATTACCTTGGCTGGTTTTCGACAGCATATGAAAATGGGCACTGGCCCCACCGGCACTTTCTCCGAATATGGTCACTGAGTTCTTGTCTCCTCCGAAACTCTCTATAGTTTTTTGGATGAATCTCAATGCTTCCTGTTGATCCTTGAGGCCGTTATTGCCCGGGCAGTGTTCGTCCAGGGTCGACAGAAAGCCCAAGGGACCTAAAATGGAAATAGTTGGTACACTTGACAAAAATACCAAATGCAAATATTCAACTATCAAAAATGTAGTTACCCAGTCTGTAATTGATGGTTACGAGAAGAACATCGTTATCCAACAGGTATTGCGGTCCATACATATAAGTACTTGAGTCACCACACATCCAACCGCCCCCATGAATAAATACCATAACAGGTAGAAGATTGTTTTCGTGGATCAAATCCTGCAATCGAAAATGTTCAACATTCTTTTCACAGTAAAAGTCATCAACATAGACATCAGGATCGCTTCGTTTTGCTACAAAATTGAATATGTACGTACTCGTAAGGCTTGTTTAATTTCAGTAAGAATCTATGTCTAAGGTTGACTCTTCTTAGTAATCATTAACCTTCAAAATGCTAATTAAAGATGTAAGGTTAATCCATTATCCTTATTAACATAATTAATATCACCTTAAGCATTTTCTATAGACTGAAATGTCTTTTACTCATTATCATTTAAATGTTTACTACTTTTCAAGTTTAAGTTTAAAAAATATTATCAGGTAAGGAACCTATGACGTTGCTAGATGCGAACTCAATAGACTACTAGGTAGTAAGCAATCTAAATTCTAATTCTAATTTTTTATTTTCATTTTCGTCCTCTAGATATTGTAGACTTCTGGCATTATTTAAGCACAAAGTGCTTGGATCTCACCTGTTATGAATAATCAGTTGACTTACATTGTTATTGTATGGTGTATAGATATTCAGGTATAGGCAGTCTTCCTGGCCCACGATCTCTTTCTGGCGAACATAGGGGTTCCTCTGGACACACGCAGGGGTGGTTTTCGACCCATCCAAAACTCCTTCCCATGGCTGCACTGGTACAGGAGCCTGTAAATATACAATAAAACACGTCACGAACATACAAAATTACCGATGGAACATGGCCTAATCAAACCGGAAAATTTTTTTTTCGACGTACCTAATCTTCGCATCAAATCTTTGATTTATAATTAGAATAACTAGTATAAACCGGTAATGTTGCTTTTTTGCCTGGCCTACTAGGTAGGGGAAGAATTAATATTTTATGGAAAGATCCTACTTCATTTAAGTACATAATAATAAAATCGCTTCTAAAACACGTGAAAAAAATGCCTGTGCTTTACCACTAAACTGAACCCAAAGATCAACAATCATGAAGGACATCTTTTTAAAAAAATAGGTACTTTCCTATACTAAATTGGTGCTATGAGAAACAAACAAGAGGTCAAAAATGTTAATTTGAACTTGTACCTACTCACTTCCTGGGCTATGTGCTACCGATTGATCAATCATGTTTAATTATGTTATGTCGTACAAGACCCTATGTTTAACAAACAGACTATGGATACACAAACTTGTATTTATTCCGGTACAAAAACTTGCCTTAAGTATATTATGTTAATTCAGGTGATGGTACCTGCTTGTGCTATAAAATTAAGTGTTCTGTGGTCATCGACCTTGATTATTCCGTATACTACAGTTAAATTTATGTCTATGGCGCTCAAAGCTTGATATAATTAAACCCAAGGAAAGCTTGCCGATTGGTTTTTTCAATATTCGGCTTAAAACTATTTTAAGTTCAAATTCATACTTAACTGCCATTGCCCTTAAAATGCCTATATCCCTATATAAGGGACGGGTTTTTAATCTGTAGATTGTCGATAGTATAGAACGATGCTAAAACTCGTTACAATCCAGATTTTTTAGTTCATTTTAACGTATCTAGGATTGTTTTTTTTATATCAAATAAATTGATTTTCAATATACAAGGCTGGCCAAAACTATTGGACGGTATTCAGGCAACTTAAGTTTTGACTACCACATGAGAAACCGGTAGATTCAATCCTAACCAAGAAAAGTAAAAAAATAACCGCCAAAAAAGTGCAGCATATTTAACTGATCACACCTTGGTCCCAACAACAACCCAAGACTTTCGACATTGTAACCACCAAAACAAGAGTGGAACTGCGAATATTAAAAAAAAACATATTATGACAAAACCAACGTTTTCCTTTAATAAAAATGGAAGAAAATCATAGTAAATATTTTATATTCCAATTTGGTCTGTGGAATGCAATTTCATTGATAATTATTGTTATCTCACATAGGCAATTATTTTTAATTACCAATACCATTATGATTTTTAAGACAGATTCAAACCTAAGTAAATTCACACAAGTTTTTGTATGTTGCACAAGAAATCAAGCACGAATTATGTCTCTATGAAGCGTAATATAAACTGTAACACAATTACTCGATATCTAGTTAAATACAGTATATGAATTTATAAACAGAGAAATTCCAAGTTTTCCGATACTTTACTTAGATCGCGTGACAATACATAATCGTTCTACTAATTATATTCTACCATTGAACATCAAAATACGTAATCATTGGTGTTTTGTACTCACCTATAATCAAAACATATATTTTCCTGTTAAATATCATGTTAATTGTCATGTATGCACAAAAAACAAACAGTAGATGATTTAATATCGAAATGTTTATTAACACAACAAATATAGGTATGTATTTGTTGAACCCACCTGAAACCTTAGATCTTTGAGAGGAGGTACTGCAAATGGAATGGATGTGAATGCTGAGATCTCTTTTCCTTCCCGAGTTTTCATATAATATCCTTCAATGTCTCCCAGCGGAGTGCTCACTAGTGGCCTCTTTTCACTGTTCACATTACATGTAAATAATACCACAATAGTGAAAGTAAACGGTAACCGTAAAACGAATCGCATCATTTCGCTTCTCTCAAAGATACATAAAACGTAAGTTAAATCACGATCGCTCGTACGACCGAACGATATGACCGCCACACCGAAAGCAAAAAACTAAACGAAACATGGTTCTGTCTCCGGTTTTTATATATACTCGTACAAGTACAATCAGCTCGTCTTGCCTAGGCAAATGAACTTGACTGTACCTACCCAAACATTCCATCTCGACATCTCAAAGTCGATTTGTTTTTGGTTGACTGATAATTTCAAATTGTTGGGTCCATGGCACTACCGGTGCATTATTAATGGATGATCAGAACCTTCGTTAGCTGGCACACCTAACAGGTAAAATGTAAAATAATATTTGGTAAACCCGGGCCGGTGTGAACATGCGTAAATGAATTAATAACCACACTAGGTATTAACATTACACAAGTGGGTGCACTAGCATTCAATTCATGCGCAGTAAATATTATTATGTATGTACATACATAATATACTTAAACGATATTATAATAGGGGAGNAATACTCCTTAAATTTAATCATATTTTCCTGTGTGTAGCATCTATTAAATGTAAAATAATGTGTTGGGTTTTCCTTTTTTTGTTCAACATTAAATTTCAGAACCTGTGCAGTATCATGGTCTGATAGAAAAAGAGACAAGACGGAGCCAGTAGCATTTTTTATATTACTAACTATTAAGTCAAGACATGCGTTACCCCGAGTAGGGTCGTTGATGTGTAACTTCAGATTATATTTTGTTAGTATATCCGAAAACCTAGAGGAGTTTTGATTTTTTTCAAGCATATTTATGTTAAGGTCCCCTGCAATAATAATTAGTTTCTTCGGGAATTTCTGCAAACATTTATGAATTAGCATATCAATTTTTTCAAAAAAGCAATCTATGTCACGTTTTAGTTTAGAAGGGATTCTATAGATGCATATGACAATTATATTGTTTGTTGTAAGATTAGCTGCACAGCATTCAAAGTGGTATATCTGAGATAAGTCATCAAAAAGTGTTATTTTTTTATACTCTATTCCTTTTTTTACCAAAATACAGGACCCTCCCCTTCTCATTGTTCTGGAATAGCTGGTTGCCAGTTCAAAGTTATGAATATTGATGTTATTTTGTTCACCTTGTTTAACAAAGGTTTCTGTAAAGCACATTACGTCAGGATTTACATGCTTCCTAATATTTGATAAAGTGATCTCAATGTATTCCTTTTTTGAAAGTATGCCATGTATGTTTTGGTGAAGTAACGTAAAGTTTTGATTTTGCTTTTTTTTACCCTCGAAAAAAATGTTGAGATTGGGGTGTATTTGTGGTCACCTTAATATTATCGTATAAATGAGATTGTTTCTTTGTATTCTACATCATTATTTTAGCCACAGAACGTTCTCTACTGAACATGGGCCTCCCCCAATGATTTCCACATCGCCCAGTGGTAGCGGCCTGCATCCAGCGCCTTCCTGCTACCTTTATGAGGTCGTCGGTCCACCTTGTGAATGGACATCCCACGCTGCGTATGATGTAATTGGCTGGCAACAATTTGATTGTCTAACGCCCAGAACAGACGGTGAAATGCAATTGCAACGAAACTGCAACTTTCTGATGATTCTTATGAATGAAACTGAATCTGAAAGTTTCAAACTGGTCGCGTCATGTGTGGTCTCTCAACGGACGCTATGGCAGAAACTTAGATGCAACTCAAAAGTAACTAGCAGTTGCAGTTTCGTTGCAGTTGCGTTTCATCGTCTGTTCTGGGCCTTAATGTGAAATATGAATCGGGACATAAAAATGTTTTATCGTTAAGAGTTGCAACTCAAATCAGATTAATAACTTGGCCCCACACATGGTCCTGGTCCCAATGCCCTAGCCGTTCTACATAATGTATTCAGAAAAAAGTATTTTTATGCTTGTAAGCGCTTTGGACCTGCTCTGTAAGCTTACAAGTGCTTTGCATCAATAAATGAATAAATAAAAATTGTCACCAACGTTGGGGCCAATGTTTCTGTCTATCTATCACTGTCGCTCACGCTGGTATCTCGCTTACACGAGAGGGATGGCACCATTCGAAACTTGGGAACGTTGCTCAGGTTCTACTTATACTTGGATTGTCTACTGCTGGACGGGCTGCCGATGATGCCTCTGCACTTCATGCCGGCTGTGTGGCGTATGGTGCGCGTGCATCGCCAGGCTCGCTCGCTTGATGAGGACCACGCGCAGGCTCTCAGGAAGGAGGTAATCATAATCATGATCATCCCAACTAATATTATAAATGCGAAAGTAACTCTGTCTGTCTGTCTGTCTGTCTGTCTGTCTGTCTGTCTGTCTGTCTGTCTGTCTGTCTGTCTGTCTGTCTGTCTGTCTGTCTGTCTGTCTGTCTGTTAACGCTTTCCCGCTTAAACCTCGCAACCGATTTTGATGAAATTTGGCATAGAGATAGTTTGAGTCTCGGGAAAGAACATAGGATAGTTTTTATCCCGGTTTTTGAAACAGGGACGCGCGCGATAAANTATTCGCTTAAGACAAGTGGTAGGTATTCAGTTTGCACTAAATTTAAAATATGTAATCAATGAGGGTTTTCGCGAATGAAAAATCCGCCAGACGTAGACGCGAGGTCCAAATGCTGCATGATTGGTTATTTTTGACATGACATTGACAGATATGTCAAAATCCACCAATCACGCAGCAGTCAGACTCCACATTCACGTCCCGCCATCTAGCGGATCTTTCATTCGCGAAAACCCTCAATGATTGACATTCATGGTACTAAAAAAACAGTTGACTTTTACTAAGATCACAAATGAATAAGGCCCAGAACAGACGGTGAAACCCAACTGCAACGAAACTGCAACTGCTAGTTACTTTTGAGTTGCATCTAAGTTTCTGCCATAGCGTCCGTTTTGACGCGACTAGTTTGAAACTTTCAGTTTCAGTTTCATTCATCAGAATCATCCGAAAGTTGCAGTTTCGTTGCAGTTGCGTTTCACCGTCTGTTCTGGGCCTAAGAAAAAAACAATGTTGATGATAAACTTCTTATAGTTTAACGAACGTTTAAAAACGTTATACTAAGTCACAGAAGTACCACAACAAACTTTTTGAAGTTTCTCAAACTCACCCAAGACGTTTCATAATGGTCGTTGGTAAAATTGGTACACCAATGCCCGTTTTCACCACCAATCCCTATTTTTTAAGTGATCCTATGGTAACACAATATAATATTGTGAATTTTGTTTTCATAAGGGTCACTTAAAAATAAATTAAGGATTGATGGTGAAAATGGGCATTAGACAATAATATTATCAAATAGAGTAATAAGTTCCAACTACCATACCCACTAAAGACTCCCTAACTAAACAGTAAAACATAGCAACTAGATAGCAACAAGTAAATATTATATTTACGTATCTAAGTCGAGCCACCGAGCGCAAAGCAAACTGAAATTAATATAACTGCCTATATTTTTTCTGGAAGCATTATAAATATTCTGACGTGGGTGTGGTAGAGCTACTGGACAAGTTTAGAATAATGAGAAATTTGAATGTAGCCTACTTACTCACTCTCTCACTCTTTGCTTTCCTTGTCGAACACCGCGGCCCAAGCTACTTGATCCGCTTCCATGATCTGTCTGCTGGCAACTTTTTATCCCGCGCAGTGGACTGTGAAATTGACTAAAAGACAAGAAAGTAAAAGCTATTTATCACTCACAAGTATACTTAAGGGTCACACTTAATTAGTTAACCTCCAAATTACATTGCGCAAACCATTACCTCCAGACAATTATGTAAGCACTTTTCTATTAATTACGCATAAGCATGTAGGTATTAAGAGCAGGTGATTCTGCTGTAAAAACAACAACTTTCTAAAGTATGTCCATATAACCCACTCTTAATACGATATAGTTGGCTGAATAGCTGCTATATCGACTGCTGCAGTCGATGTTATGGTTAAATTTGAGCCACAGAATCTATAGCTTAAGAATCAATTAACTATTCGAAAAAATTATAAATCAAAATTTGTAATCTTATCGTTTAGGTACACAACAATCGATATATTGAATTTCAATAAGTGCTTGAATAAATGTTATGAAACTGATAAAAAATATCTAAATAAACGATAATGATAGTAAAATGTTAAGATAATAAAATTGAATAGGCTGAAAAAAGTTTATTTCGTCAAATTTTCTTTCTCGGTGTGGTAGTTTTCTTTAACTTTCGATTCAACAAATTGAACATTTTATTCAACATGTATGACCTCCTCCGAGGCCTATACCGCACAGTCTTCTCTGGATTCAGTAACATGGGCACGTTGTCATTATGTTCCGTCGATTTTGTATTCCTTGTTGTTAAATTAAAATTTCTTTTCCTGTAACTTTCAGATCGTGTCACTGTAGCAATTTTCTCCTTTTTGTTCTTTTTAGCTTCATACTCGTCGATTTTTCGCAGAATATCCTCGTTTTGCTTAGCAATGCTATCAGCTATGGTCTTTAACTGTAGTAAATCGTTGCTAAGTTTTGGTAGCTGAATTTTATTAACAAGTTCAAACTTTTCGCTGATGGCATTAATAGCGTTCAAGAGGGTATCTTCTTTAGTAAGTATGTTTTCTATGTTGAGCTTCGCCTCGGAGTTTTGGCAGAGAGCACACTTCCACTGATATGCGCGGTCGCCAGCGTTGCGCTGGTCCTTCGAGACATCGCTGACGCATCGCAAGTGGAACCGGGACTCACACTGCCCACACTTGACTCCTTCGCAGTGACGAAGGTGCCGCTGGCATCGCTGGCACAACATTTTCGGTTTCTAGTTACTGCAATAAGTAAAATCGACCAATCTAATATTAGGTGGTAAGGTTTCCATGTAGGTACAATCTTTCCATTAACAAAAACACTCACATGACTGAATTTGTACGGATAACAACGAAGTTTCTCTTCTTAAAATATAAGATTATGATTATTCTCTGAATGCTTTAAATTTATTACAGAAAGACGACACTGCTAAAACAAAATGTCAGGTCGTAACATTACTGATAGTAGGTATATGTATTTACAAAAAATAAATATAAGTTAAAAAATCGGTAAAGAGCTACAAAAACAACATATTACAAAGAGACATTTCTTTTATTTGTGACATCTGACTTTGACAATCATTTTTTTCATCAAATTCGTCATTCAGTTGTGGTACTTGTGGTTGTGGCATCGCACAACCAATTTTGTTGAAGTACCTAGTAAATAAAATCTGTAAGGTCCCTAGGTATCTCATTAGGACACCACGATAGTGGCGCCATCTGCTCGCGCCACTATAACAAAATTGCAAAATTATACCGCACTTGGTATAGTCGCGAAACCAATTTGTTCTAGGCAATTTCGTACCTATTTGGTAATTGCACCATTGTGCGCGAACAGTGACGCCCATGGTGCCCTAATGAGGTAAAGCCCTTACCCATAAGCTAGGTATATACTAGCACTCATGGCTATCCATCCATCAATTCATATGAATACGGTCTACACTCTACACACACGAAATAGGTAGGCATAAACAGAGGGGAGTTAGAAGGCGGTTGTATGACCGTTCGCTTCTTCCTCCCCTTGGTGGTGGCCAGCAGGTTGGAGACGCGGGGGCGCCTCCCCCTGCATTGCACAGGTTACCACCGCCGTCGGACGGGATTGGCCTCGTGGTCCCGGCTAATCCTGTCGGCCCCCCACTAGGTGGGGGCGTGTTGGGTCCCGCCGTGTAGGGCGGGACGTCCGCGGAAGGCGCCTTGGTCGTTTCTAGTACCCAGGCGCCGACCACTATGCGGCAGAGGGAACACCCCAGGTTTTTAGTGGGTTCGAGCCCCACATAACCTGCCGTCCCCCGGCGGTAGGTATGGATAGGCCATTTTCCTGGGTAAAAAAAAAAAAAAGGTAGGCATAAACAATCCAGTTCAGTTTAAAAAGCGACACCTAACTAATGGTCGTTAAATCAATATCTACTGCTACACACAATGTTGAGTCACAAAATAGGAGTTGAGTCGACAGTGTAATAAACATTCAACAACTTCTCCTAGATGGAGTTAGGTGTAACTGTGCGGCTCTTTTACTTGAGATACTTTTTTTTTGTTAATATAAAGTGACTAGGTATATCAAGATTTTACTCAATTTGTAACAAAAAAATTACAAGCCTGACATCTAAAGAACAACACTAATAAGACTATAGAATTATTATGTAAACATTATTACTGACATGAGTACAATGTGCAGTACCAGAGGTAAAAAAGGTTTATGCCCGTTTTCACCATCAATCCCTAATTTTTAAGTGACCTCTATGGCAGAGGCGGCGTTAAGCGTGGGCGATGTGGGCCACCGCCTACGGCCTCGCGGTACAAGGGGCCTCGCGACTCAAAAATGTTTAAAGCGAGAATAAAACAAAAATAAGCCGTAATGGGTGCGACTCTGGATGGGTGTGACTCTGCAAAGTATATTATTTGTTATGGATGTGATTCTGGTTTGGTGGCATCTTGCCTAATGGCAAATCGCAAAAACTTCCCGATTAATCGGGACTATACGATGTTTACAGTTGATTTTCCAGAATATCGCAAATTTTTTGATACATAACGTTTGTACTGCCGGAATTCATTCTCCTCTGGAATGTCCCCAAAATTCCATTATTTTTGCCGTATCACTTACCGTTTTCGACATATCTGCGTGTGCAAATGACCTGCGCGTATCGATACGATTAATATTATAGGGAGTCCTTCGTACTTACATATATTATGAACCTCAAGATGTATAACTCAAAAACATTTTACGAAACTATTGAATAAATAATTGATTTTTTGCAATATTGCAAATATCATAGGACTCATTTTTAGTACTGCTAAAGTTCATCACCCCTTCAGGAAACCCCCAAAATTTCATTATTTTTGCCGTATCTCTTACAGTTTTCGAGATATTTGCATTTGCAACCAATTGTGCTGTATAGCCTGACCAGGAACATAAAAACCCTGGCATAGAGGCGCGTCAATCGCATTTGATAGTGCAACACTGAGTACAGTCGTACATATGTTAAATTAATAGGCTAAATTTATGTATCAGGATTCAGGATTACGAGCTAATTTGATATTTTCATAAATTAACGAAAAAATATTATTAAAGGTAACCTGGTTTAAATAAATTAAATGAAACCATCAATCGAGCTAGTAGGATTTATTTTATTATTCATCAATAATCAAATTCAGAACTTGAATATTCAACTGCAATGTCTGCTCATGAACGCTTCAAACTCGGTACATCTTTCCCAATTCCATAAAATTCAAAACTTAGAAAGTGACAAAAAATATTAAAATAGGTAGTTGAAACAGACTACAGCTAATTTTCATAGTGGACTGTACTATACGATAAACATGTCAGTCAATTTGACAACCTTTGTCGGAAACATTATTCAATGAAAATATTGTCCGAACCCTTAGTATTTCTCTTCGACAAATACATTAACACATTGTGAACCACTTTTCTTTCACAACTATAAAAATATTTTAGCAATTTAATTCACAAAACCATAAAATTCAAAACTTAGAAAGTGACAAAAAACTTTAAAATAGGTAGTTGAAACAGACTACAGCTAATTTTCATAGTGGACTGTACTATACGATAAACATGTCAGTCAATTTGACAACCTTTGTCGGAAACATTATTCAATGAAAATATTGTCCGAACCCTTAGTATTTCTCTTCGACAAATACATTAACACATTGTGAACCACTTTTCTTTCACAACTATAAAAATATTTTAGCAATTTAATTCACAAAATCAATTGCACATTTAAAATAAAGTTTGTTTACACTTTGACAACAATAGACTGACATGCAAGGTGACATGTCAATGAAGTTTTCAGTTACTGTTGCCATTAAAAGAAATTAGTACTAGAGATGAAACGGATATCCGGTAACTATCCGGTAGGCCGGATATCCGGCCTAAATTTACTATTCGGCCGGATACCGGATAGTAACTCACTATCCGGCCGGATACCGGATATTAAAAAACTACGACAATTTCCCATTAATAAAATGAAGTACAAGATTAAACATCAATAAAATGGCTTATAATAATGACGGCTTTTATTTAAAGTCCAAAAAGTTACAAATAGCCATATTAAGGCCTTTAAAAAAACTAATTTCTTTTTCTGGGCTATTCACTCTAATGACGTATACATAAATAGTAAATATCTTTTAATTTTGTACCAATAAGCTCTGGCGTGCCACAAGGCTCAATATTAGGCCCACTCTTGTTTATCTTATTCATTAATGACATTAGTAGTTGTTTTAACTTGTGTGATTTTTTATTATACGCAGGCGATTTAAAAATCTTCCATAAAATTGACAACAGTGATGATCACATAAAATTTCAGGATGACCTTGACCGCTTCACTACTTATTGTGAAGTAAATAAACTTAGTCTTAGCATTAATAAGTGTAAATCAATAACCTTTACAAAGAAGCGGCTAATCAGCCACTATACTTACAAACTCACTGGTGTCAACCTAGAAAGTGTCCAATCCATTAGAGACCTAGGCATAACCTTAGACAGCAAGCTACATCTTGATTTACACGTCGATAAAATAACCAATTAGAGTATGCCGTGCCCATTTGGAATCCTTACTATAGTAAATATATTGAAAGTCTGGAAATGGTACAATAGAAATTTCTACGTGCAATGCACTACAGATGTTTTCATAATCGTTTGCCCTATACTCAACTATTGGAGAAATATAAAACTCTTAAGCTTGAGGATAGACGCAAACAACTTGAAGCAATGATGTTATACGATATATGCCATAATAGATACGATTGTATCCCCATTGTGAATAGTCTGTATTATAATGTTCCTACTAGAACTCATAGCCGATATATTTGCCTATTATTTGCCACATCCCGATGTCGTACAAACGCTGGACGATCACCAATGTATCGTCTAGCTCACTCTTACAATACATACTTTAACTCAATTGATATTATGACACTTCGGCCTTATGCTTATAAAAAATTATTGCTGGAAGCACTGCGCAGTGATTAGTGATTAGTGTTTCCTAGTTTACATTATTATTAATTTACGCAGTTTAATGCACGGGCCTGTGGTAGGTGCCGCACCGTTGGGACTTCATTTTTTTTTTCTCTTTCCCATTTTTTTTGTCTGTCTTTTGTTTTACACAAGATGTACTCGACTCGTAGTACTTTTGTAATATGCGAGTAAAGCATTTGAAGGGTTTTTCTTTAAGGTGTGATGCTTGGTTTTGCAGGCCACTGTATATTTAGGTTAATAAATAATATCATCCTAATGTGTGATCCTTCTAAGTAAAGTCTGTTGCAGTTTTTATCACTCTCAATGACTTATGTATAAAGTAAGTAAGCTGTGGTAAATGATGCTGATGTTGAATTTACTAATTTTTTGCAATTCGATTTCTTAAGCAACATTGTATTCAACATTGTTTTTTTACTCTAATAAAGTAAAAAAAAAAAGTAAATATTGCCAAATAAAATAGGCGATCTTTTTTCACTGATGGTCTGATGTCATGATGCAGTTCAGTCAGATTATGCAGCAACTAAACTAATTTAATTTTCGCTATTCAATCACACACTCACGATGGCAACCGAAATCGCCCGAATTGATCTGCCCCCCAGACAAGTGACAAAATCTGACATTCAATTCGGACTGATTCGATTTACGTAAAGTGTGACTAGTCTAGTCTACATTGATCGCGTTCGGAGCACCTGTGCGGCGCAAAACTCGTCACGACATGCAACGAGACAATGGGCCAACTATCCGGCCGCCGGATATCCGGCTATCCGGCCTAGCAGCTGGCCGGATATCCGGTATCCGGTATCCGGCCAAACAACTATCCGTTTCATCTCTAATTAGTACCATTAGTTTTCCGCAACATGGCGAGGGTTTTTATGTTCCTGGTCAGGCTATATGCATGTACATTGAAAATGTTTGATTTTCTCATAATTCGTCAGTAACTCGTAAACTATCATAAATACGAAAAAAACGTTAATAATCAATTTTGTAGACATTCCA